CAGATGAACAATATTTACGCCTTCTGTTAGGTATAGTGAAGCTGAGTTCAATCAAAATATCATTTTGGATACTGATTTAAATTTACTGAAAATGTTTATTTAACCAGAAACAGGTACATTATTACAAATATTTCCAGCAAAATACTGAGTAATTCATGTAGATGAGTGGAGACGCATGTGTTTGAAAAAAAAATTCTTCCAACTCACGTACGTTTTGACGTATAGGTAACGTTAAACGTACATTGATTTCAGCAAACCTAATAAAAGTAATTTTTGAAATTTTTGTTTAAAAGGGAATGTGAAAATCATCAACAGGTTAAAAGACATTAATATAAAATTCAAATTGAAGACTGAGAGCAGTAATATTTGTGTTCAAAAGTACTTCCAATTTTTAAAGTTCAGTAAATAAATAATAATTTCCTTCTTTTAAACATTTACTAAATTACATTACTAATAAAAATGCGGAAATACATACTATTAGAATCATATATAATGGTTTTTTTATCTGACAGCTTGGTTTTGAAAATGTGTAAATAGGAAATATTGTTTACAGAGTATTAAAATGTATTTTACGACGAATCAATTAATAGGAAATTCTTATAGCTTAAAAATACGTATGAAAGTGAAATTTAAAGACATGTAACTTTCTTATTTTTAAATAGAGTATATGTTGAATAACCCTTTGTTAATGGGTTAACTTTTACACTCAAATGATTACTATCAAACTTATTTGAAAAAAAGTCTTTAAATCATAATTTTTCCTACAAAATAAAAAACATAATAATAATTTTCAAAAACAAGCATGAATTTAATTAAAACAGAGACAAAAACACTAAACTAAAAACCAAAAAAAATGAACATGAAAACCTTATGCACCATGAATTCTTAAAAAAACAACAGATAATTATGCAAAGACTATTGTCAATATTTGGAAAAGATAATTGTATGATTATTAAAAAAAAAGAAAAAAGAACGAACTTAAATTGTCTGATTCCTGTTGTTGTTTCAACTCTGTTTCATGAGAGTGCGTTTTGAATTCTACCCCCGACGAGTTTCTTCTCTTCTGCTTATCATATGTTTTAGAATTTATTTCCCTGAATTCCGATAAGAACATTTTGCAAAATTGAACGCAGATTTATAGGACTAGGAAACAGATTGAACAATATGTGGAATTCTTTGATGGCAGAAATAATACAAAAAATACTTTGGGTGACACAGGTAAGATTATATATACTTGTTGATTACCAAATCATTGATACTTTCAAGGAAAAGAAATAAATGAATGTATAATTATGTATCAGTTAAATAAAAAGAAATAAGATTCAAGGAAGTACAAAGTTTTGCAGAAATGATCATAATGTAATTATAAAATGTGGACTTGATGAGTGTTCACTGTGCAAAAGTGTATTGTAAATGTATTTTGTGATTGTGGTGGTTCATTATCTTTACCAAAATATGGCTTGAGTCTGAGAAAACAAGAACAACATATGTCTTGTTTAAAAAAAATGAAAGATCAAAAGCACCAACAAAGTAGGTAATATGTAATATTTTTGTCAATAGATCAGAATCCGAGTTAAATTCAATCTATATCATACATGATATATGCAAAGTATATACCAAAAGCTCTTTCAGCTGTATGTCTGGAGTTAACTGAATGTTCCGTGTTCTCCACATGGAAAAAATCAATGGCAGTCTGTGAAATCAAAAGAGCAACGCCCCTTAACTGAGAGAGATGTTCTTCCAAATGACACATGGGTGGGAATAGCCAAATTTGTATTGAGCGGCGGTAAACAGTATTTTAAATTAATTCTTTTATTACTTTTCTCTATTATTACTGGCTATCTGATTGATTCAAAATAGATCACATTATTCAATCGTCTTAATTGATTAAACAAAGATAGAGAATACAATTTAAATTATTTCATGTTGCTTTATATTATCACCACACTTACTGAAGTGCAACAGCTGAAGTTATTGAACATGAAAGTTTTCTTTGACCTTTTTTTCACCTTTTTATTGCGCGCATATAAAGCTAAAAATTATCGCCTTTAGTTTTCGAACATTTTGACATTCGATTACGGGCATAAAAACTATGAAACTTTAAGATACATAATGAACATGGCCAGAATATAATGAGAGCCACGGATCTAACTCTACAAATTCTCTTGTAAAAGAGACCATTTTCCAGGCAATTATTCCAAGCAATCCAATGAACGATACTACTAGAATTAATATCATTTAGGACGATTGTTTAATCAACTCATTCAGTGATCTTTATTACAAATATCAATTTCATCGCCCGCGCGGCACAGAGGTAAAAGCGTCTGCTCTAGAGTCGCAAAGTAAGGAGTCAATCCTTTAATACGTCGAAAAGATCCCTCCCTGCTCAGTGGCCTGGAGTAAGGGACAAAATTTACAGCTCTTCAATGGTATGTAATGGCGTCTCCAAATGAGTGAAAATTTCTCGAGAGGACGTTAAACAATATAAAATCAATCAAATATTTCTATTTTCTATTGCAATATTTTAATTAATTACTTATAATAGATACTTGTAATAATTCCTTTATTTGATACAGAAATTATAAGAAGGAGAATTTTTATAAGTAATTAATTTATATTTTTCACTAATAGAATATTTGAAGAACGATAATTCCTATAAATGCATGGATTTGTTTTGTACAACCACACAAAAACAATGTTATATTCTTATTTGTCAGGGTCCAAAGGCAACGTTTTCAGTATATCCCTGGCATTGCGAGGATAATTTTTTAAATTAAGTTTTAACGCTATATGTTAATAGAGACATATTATGGTGTGTAGCAAATGCATTACTTAACTCTGACGTACCCCAAAATGTGCAGTTGTGCCCTACAAACAATTTAAAATTTTGAATTCTTTCATTACGTTATTCAGATGATAATTTATTGTCAAAATATTTACCAATCTTGAAACATATTATGATACTTGTTTAAAAAATAAATTATATCAAAAGTCTTTGAATGACCCATGTATATAATAATTTAAGCTTTTTAATAAGGTATTATAACCTTGGAAGTTCAGGAAGTAGAAGAAAAATGAAATTTCTTCGAGTAAGTATTATAAAACTCAGACTAAAGATCAATCATGATACATATTAATTCAATTTCGATACTGAGATATACTTATTTCTTTTGATATTAGTTTGTGACAATTTCCTAATAAATTGCTGTTTCTTTTGCTAGCTATCCATTCAAGGAATTGTAAAGATTTTCTTCCTGAGAAGAGTTAATACAGCATTTAATACCAGGGCAGAAATACGTAATTGGGTATTCTCACTATATTTCTATGGAAGGTAATTTTGTTGAGAGAGTAAGAAATAATTACAAAATATTTATGTGTATATTATATTAACTACCATAAAATACACAGGATCTCATGTTTTCTCTTTACACAGGAATCCTTCAACCGACAAAGTGCATGGTGCACAGAGGAGGATCGCATACAGAATATGTGGCCTGTAATAATTCTTTTAAGTATGGTTGCAGAGAAATTGGGTCCATTCTCACTTACTTTAAATACACAGAGTGAAATAAAATCTATATTTTTATTTTCTTGGTTTTCAGAAAAGTCCTCAAAGCTCAAGACGATTATCTCCCTTACTCCTGCTAGTGACAGAGGCTATACAATTCCTAACCATGTAAAACACAGCAATCAAAATGCAAAAAGCATTGGAAATGGTAAAATGAAAGTCGCTTTTGTAATAATGGTAAAAAGGTATATACGAGGGTTGTTCCAAAAGTTTGCGGACAACCGGACAACCGTCATAATGTGTTTACTAATATCATTTATATCAAGGATGAGATGAGGTGACTTACGGTCCGGTAAATCGACCAAAAATCAAATGTTCAAATTTTACTCTAATTTCTGCATGCATTAAACACTGATGTGTGTACCCTAAACGGGAATACTACTTTTAACAAAAATAGAATCGTAATTTGGAAACAGTTAGCTGGTCACTGTGTCTTATTGATATCTACCTATAACGCTTTTCAATGATTTAGAGAATAATGCATACAATTTAATATAAATATCCCCCCCCCCAAAAAAAAAAACGTTTATGACGTCATAGTAGCACTGCGCCACACCTCAATGCCGTGCCATGCCAAAGTCTTTAAAAAGTATAAATAATTGCAAAAACTAACCCTTGTCTCTCATGGGTGCGAGATCAACGCTCGAAAAGTGTGTATAAACAATAACCTAAATATCTTGAGTTGGGGCAAGACTTACACTAATCACTCGACTAGTGTGAGAGGACTAACCCTAAATCTCTCGGGTTATGCAATGCAAGGACTAACCCTAATCAATCAAGTGGTGTGCGAGGACTAATCCTAATATCTCTGGAAAGTGCAAGCAATAAGCAAAATCAATAAAATTGATTGAGAGGACGAATTCAGAGATAATGGTTTTTGAATGCAGGGCATCAGCGTCAGTGATTGACGTCGAATTATTGTGACGTCATAAACGTCAATTGTTTCTCCGAACCATCGGACTTTGGTGCAACGTGTCTCATAGGAAACGAGCCATCGGACTTTGGTGAGACCATCGGACTTTAGAGTCTTTCAAATATATATATATATATATATATATATATATATATATATATATATATATATATATATATATATATATCTATTTAGTCTTCATGATTTTACTTATTAATCTCTTTTAATTCAAATACATGTCCGTAACATTTTTATCCAATTTCTGATTGAACCGATTAGAACTCATTTTATAGATTTCTCGTTCATATGGAAATTATTTAGGTACTTATTTATTAGTAATTTTTCAAATTACTTGCAGGTATAAGGGTGGTGTCTCCAACACTATGAAATATGTATTTCATCTATATCAGGTATACACCCTTCAAAACCAGTTCCCAGAATATGATAGCAATTCCAGCCAATTCTTACCTGAAATTAAAACCATTCAACCACACTGACCAAATATAAATCAATGCAACACTAATAATGGAAATACTCATAAGCTGCTAGGTTAAATCTTGCAGCTTTGGTCTGTGCAAATTGTCTGATAGTATACTTTTTAGCAAGTCTTGAAGCAAGGTCGTCTATGGGTTCAAATATCTTCAAAGGAATATCTTTTTGCAGAGGATGACATAAAATCCTGTAGTTCCACTGCGCGTATTCAACAGTACCATTTTTTACGTTCATAACCGTTCTTGGTAAGAAAGCCAAATTTTCTGATGGATCTTTTCCTCCTGTGTATGAAGTAAATCGATTCTTTTGTTCAAGGTCAGACCAATCACTGGCCTCTAAACTGTGACGAGGAGTGGCAAACTGATCCACAGTGGATTTGATATTCTTGGTCCAAGCTCCTTCCATGTAGCACATTACAGCCTTAAAGTACGGCCTGTAATCTCTAAGATTATGATTTTGATACTTCCATGCCTTGAAATAATTTTGCATTTCAGTGATCTGTTCTGCAACTGTGTGTTTGCTTTTTACTGATGGGGGAACTGGTGGAAAAGGAATGTTTTCCGTCGCATGGTAATTTTGGTTTGTTTTGCTGGGCATGCGCAGTTTGAAATCGTTATGTCGGGTTCGGAACTCGACCCCGTTGATAACGGCATCAACTTCCCCCATGCCAACTAAGAATTTGTTGTTACTGTGATCATGAATGCCATTGACAGAATCTTGTCCAGCAGTGTCAGAGTTGAATGATCTTGTTCCTTTGTGATTCATTCGTACCTCTTTTATTCCTAAAATATATTAAATATTCGACCTTGAAAACATTTTTTTCAATGACGAAAGGTCTTCAATCAAAATGAACTGAGCTGCAGTAGTATACTGAATCAACTGAAACGCTTAATATTTAGAAATTATATGCTCAAGGCACAGGTTGAAATGTTAACATATCTGGAATTATAGGAACCCGGTTTCACAACGATGAGTTGCTTTTTTTTGTGTCTAATATTTAAACTCCGATAATATGAATGAAAATCGCAAAATTCCTAACACTGAAATCGAAAGCTATAGGGGGTGATTATTTCTCAGAATACATAGAGTGAAGAGGCGTGTCAGAATTGCACGAAAATGGCAGATAGGTCGAAAAGCGTGCTTAATTTGTTCTTTTTTTAGACTTGAAGTACAATAAGTAGATGCCTCTCCACATAAAATACGACACCGGTAGCAAACCGATGTTGATGATTCTATATAAATGTCGCCCGCGTGGCGCAGTGGTTAGTGGGACTGCTCTACAGTCGCGAAGTAAGGAGTTGATTCTTACGTCGCGGGTTCCAGTCCCACTGTGAGACGTGGTGACCGGTCCTTCGGATGAGACCGTGTAAACCAAGGTCCCGTGCAGCTCTCCCACGGCAAGTGGTGACGTCTCCATATTTTTGAAAAATTCTAGAAAGGGACGTGAATCAATCAATCAAATGTAACCGAAAACCCCTAGAATCGAAGATGGAGAGTCTTTTTCTTATTCATGTTCAGTGAAGTTCAATTTTGTTGAAACTGTAATTTTTCATGAACTGTAATTTTTCATGCTATTAGTTAACTTCGACAGATAAAGAAAAAACGCAAAATACGTAATTCTGAAACCGAGCCCTTGGTTTGTCTTGGTTTGGTTGTGTCTATGTTTTGGATAATGCAAAACAATAATGTTCTCAGTTTGTAAACATTTATATGCACACACCTGAATCACCATCCGACCGCGTCCTTTCATCCACAAACAGTTGCTGGAGCATAGTTTGACGAGCCAGGTTCTCCAGATGGGCTTCAATGTACTTCATTCGAGCCTCATTGCTGTTGGGGTCTAAGGTTGTAGTCGGCGCCTGCGTGGCACATAAAGCCGCAGCAAATAAACTAATCAGTGGGATGATACACTTCATCTCTCTCACCGTACTACAGGGAAAAAAGTATTTCTTCGAAATATTAAGCATGTATTATAAATTTATTTTACAGATTATTATTATTTATTTTTTTTTTGGCCATTTATAAAATGCACTACAGATCAGTTTTATTATTTGAATAAATTGTAAATGAGAACATCGATTTTAATAGAAGTTTAATTAACATTGTACGTATGGAAATCTTATTCAATTGAAGAAAAAAAAGATGCCGTATTTTTTAGCTGAAGGAAAAAAGTACCGAAGATAAAATTGGCGAAATCAAAACATGCTCTCTGTCTTTCTCATCAATAGCTTCATTATTTTAATCGTAGTCTCAAATAAATTGTTTGCAATCCTTGTTAAGATAGAGTTTCATATCTATATATTTTCGAATGGAAAATCTCCTTCCGATATATAATGGTAGGTAATTTGTCTTTCAAACATAAAAGCATCAAGACCTAACAAAAAAAAGCTTTGAAATTAATCCGGATTGTTGCCTCGATTGATTTAATTAATTACTGAATTTTTTTTATGTTTTTCTCTAAATTGGTTGCTACCAAAAAACTTGTTAAGAAACAAACAACCATACCTGGCGTTGTGGCCTTCGATAGACTAAATCCACCGAACTGCTCCCGATACTAACATGTCAGCTGCCTTTATGTATCGTGCTATCAGAGACCTATAGGAACATTCGCCACTTATAATTGATACTGGACACCTGATGTGATAATCAAAAATGTAATCTTCGATACGTTTTTATAAGAGTACTGTTGGGTGCGCGAAATAAATACAGGTACATTAACACTATGACAATAGTTATAATCTTCAGGTATAATGCAGCAGCCATTAATTTATAATCCTTTTAAATAAAAAAAAATATAGTGTTTTTTGAAACGTATCTCCACATCATTTCGAATAGAATAAATTCGAAAATTTTAAATTATTCGCAAAGATCGAAATTCTTTAGGAGACAGAGTCATATTTACAGAAGCAGACCCCCTTTCCTTATTTTTGTTTTGGTAATAGACTTAATATCGTACACCCTAAATAACTACACAAAATCGTTATAAAAGAAACTTTATTGAGAGTCCTAATTGTTTATGTGGTACAGTAGAAGGCCTATGAAATAAACATTGAGAGTAGTAATTGTTTTTACATTAGAAGACAAACATCATTTCTACTTTGTAATAAGTATCAACATGCTAAAGAGGAACTGTAAAGAAACATATTGTGTCACTAGACGAAGAATTAAATACTATTGATTGTCACCTACTTTTGTTTTGAGCTTATTCACAATATTTGATATCAATAAATATATTTTTCAAACTGTAACAAAATTCACAAGAGATACTGGTATATTTAATTATTAACTATTACAGCCTAACACTAAAACTCAAATCAGTTATATATCATGTAAAGAATGAATGTTTAAAACAAATATATTTGTAAGTCAACGTATTTTTTTCTCTGTGTATAGACCTTGACAGCTGTTGCCATTTGTGGCGAAATCCTCGACCACTTATTTTTTTAAGGAATAGTGTGACACATACGAGGGCTGTTCATTAAACAATGTCCTGAGCTCTATGGCATACAATGTAGTAATCATATGTAATTAAGCTTGACTTTTTCTCATGATTTAATCTTAAATGGATTGATTACAGTTTATTTGACCACTTTTCATCACAGAGACTTATAGTTTCATTGTGAGAACCTGGAAAACAAGGGCTATTTGAGACACTGCATTATAAATGAATGGTAAAGAATCAGTTAACTACCGTGAAATTAAACGCTTCATGAAAGCTGCTGTTAAACTCGTCAGGAATTCCAAAGAAATATTTACTGAAAAACTAGAATGTGAAATTTACTGCAACCAATGTTTGTTTTACTGACACATGAGCAAGTGGATTTCAATCAACAAAATTGATATAATGGGCATCAAAATATGGGTACCGTCATTGGCGACAAAGACGTACAACAACCAATGCACTGTTTGCCAAAATTCAACAAAAATCACTGATGATGTTTGACTGCCTTTACGACACGTAGCAAAATTGATAGGCATCATTTTGGGGGTAGTTGACACTGTTTTTAAGAAATGTTTAACAATAAAAAGCTTAATACTTACTGGCCAACCTATATTTTGAAAAATGAGTGCAAACGACAGCGTGTAAGAA